TCCATGCACAGTGCCGTGGGCTTTGACCATCTATATGGAGTTCTCCGTGTATGGTTGGCATGCTTCAGAGTCCAAATGCACAGTATTTCTGTCTTCCTAGTGCTATGGCCTTGTCTTTCTGAATTTAGAGGAGTGGTATCATCTTTCCTTAGGTAATTCCTTCATCAGTCTACAGTTCTTGAGCACATCCATACTTTTGTTACAGAAAAAAGAAAGAAATTATAACCATTTTGTTTGTTTAGGTTTGTGACTTTAACTTATTGAACTCAAAATTTGTACAGATTTCTGACTATGAAATAGTTAGCTCCTACAATATGATGATAGGTTTGATGACATCTTCATTTTTATCACGAGCAGCATTTAGTACCCACTCCTGTTAATCTGGCTTCTTAAAATGTGACATTTCCTCTGGTAGAAAATTTAAAGGACTGCTTCTTGGTTAATTGGAAGCAGAATGCTTCAACCTAACCATGACATCTGAGGATAAAAATTCATGAAGTCTGAATTTCACGGACAGAAATGAAATGGGATGTTTAGTATTACACAGAATCTCATGTTCTTCGTTGCTTTGGGGTCTGAATAACTACAAAATATTACTCTTGTGTTGATTTATAGTACATCACCGTAAAACAAAAACAGATTGTGACTGGTGTGTTGTAGAGTCCACAGCAGCATTTTGAATCCTTATTCTGATTCACATGACCTCAGGGTTTCATCTCCATCTCCATACATAAAACTTCACTGAGGCTGCTGCAGGGGTTTAACTTTATCCCCTTTAATGAGAGACCATCACAGCTTTCTCTCACACATATCTTGTGTAACAGCTAGCAATGTTAGCTGTTAGAGCTGTAAAAAATGCCCAGTAATGAAACCAGGGCCCAGACCACCTGTAGTGTCTGGCCTGATGTTGCCCCATACCTGAAGAGGACTGGGAACATGGCAGACTCAGAGAAATATCAGACAAGACTGTGATCTCACTGGGTATTTTCTTATTCAGTCTGCTTCACAGGATCTCTGGTAGAATGGTGAGAAAATGCAGACAAAAGATTTTTGCTTCCAGACACTGAATGGAACCCACCAAAGTGCTAACACTCTGTTTAAGAGGGTTGAAGAGGGAGAGAATTAAGGCCTACATCCACATATATATGAGCAGCCCTGACTGACTTGGGAGGAGCCTCGCAAATTACCCACTGCAAATAAAACATATAACAGAATTAAGCCTTCTGGCTGGTCTTTACATGAAAGACAGTTGTCAGTGTAGGCCTGCAGGTAAAAGCAAAAGGCACTGAATTGGGTTGTGACAGGGAGAGAGTGGATGAAGGCTGCTGCTGGAGCTCTTTGGAAGCGCTCACTCAAACACTAGGGATCATAGCCGCCCCGAAGGACTCATGTAGGAATTTGCTGCTAATAGTGTGAATGAATAACTTAGTGAACAGCACCAACAACATGGAGTAGCATCATCTCTCCAAAGGCTGTAAGGGATTGAAAAAACAGCAGCAGTTTCTTCCTAGAGGGAGGTGGCTGCTCCCGCTCCAGCTGGAGCTCGGTGTCCCTCCATCCACCAGCGCCCCGGCTCCACGAGGTGCGAGGGGACACTGGGGCAAGAGGGGCTCGGCAGCCGCGGGCAGGGCAGCGGGGGTCTGTCCTTCCTGAGTGCAGGAGCGCCCCTTCCATTCCCTCGGAAACGGCCCCGCTTCCTACAGGGAGGAGGGGGTTGCCGTGCCAAATCTAGGGGGGTAATTTATGACCGGGGATGGAGGCAAAGGAAATCTCTCACCCAAGGGAAGGGCACAGGGGGTCTGCGGGGGAAGGGGAGAAGCTGCCTTGCCTCTCCTCAGTCCGCGGTCAGCCCGCAAACCCTTGGGTGAGCCCCCTGACCGCTGCCTGGCTGCGAGCCGGTCTCCGGAGAGAGGCTTTGGGGCCGGGGAGAGAGAGGCAGAAGATGGGCAGAACTCGAGGAGTGGTGGGGTCTCGGCCTCCACCCTGCCCTGTTCCCCCAGGCAGCGAGGAGCTGTGCAGGCGGCACTGGGCGCTCACATCCCCGGGGTTCCCGTTCCCGGCTTGGCCGCCTTCAGCCCCTGCCCTTAATGAGATTCTTTGAATTAAAAAAAAAAAAAAAAAAAAAAAAAAAAAAAAAAAGCGAGATTTAATGTTCCATCCTTATCTTTGGAGGAGCGCGGTTTTCTTGCAGCGGCGACGTCACTTGTTAAACAATCCGCGGCTGAGCCCCTGAAAAGAGAGGCATTGCACCCTTCGTGCTGAATGCGCTTCTCAGTGCACATAACGCCAGGGCCTTTTGATGTCTCACAATGCGTGTTACGCCCAAAGATTGTCTCTTTGGACAGATCTACAACGCTTGGCTTCATGTTTGGAAGTTAAATGGACAGCGAGGTTGTAGAAACTCCCACGCTTGAAGCTGGCGCAGACACTCGGTACTTTCGCCTGTTACTTTCCATGAGTGAAAGAGGCAGGGTGGAGGGAAGGGGCTGCTGGTTTAATCCGTGCTCCGAGGCAAAGGGAGGGGGGAAAGCGATCCAGACTTTTCCTCTCTTTTATTTTCTTCGGTTTATTCTTTGGCAGCCTTAAAATAAGAGCTATGTGCAAAGCGTGCGCCCTGCCTAGGTAGCTTGTGTCTGGAAGTCGCTGGCAATGTTGCTGCTCCATGAAATCAAAATTTATGATTATTCAAATGTTGGGGACTGTGAAAAGAGAGGAAGAAAGAGAGAAAATTAATATTGCAGCTGTTCTTCTGATTAATGAGAGATAATTGCTCATGAAAAGTCACCCCTGTGGCATTTTGTTGTCTCCTGGATCTTTGTTCTTTTCCACTATTATTGAGGACTTTCTTGAAGACTAAGCGGTTCTTTTCAATTTTTGGTATTCAGAAAGTGTTGCTTGGTTACAGATAATGGAGAAATCTCGGGCTATATTGGGTAAGATGTGCCACAGACAGCAATATCACAATGCCACTTTCAGAAAAGGATGGATACAAGTTAACGGTGCGCTTTCAATAAAACATTAATAGACTTGTTCACGCTTTTATAATGACCTCCTTAATGGGAGCTGGGGGCAAGTCCTGTCTTTAGATTGCGCTCACTTCAGAAAGGCCAGCGCTGGGATTGCCGATCACTTTGGAAACTAATAGGAAATCAATGTTAGAGTAGCGAATAAATGCGATTATAGCGCAGGAGCCCGCAACCCCTAGCTTACCCAGGCTTTATTTGGAGCGGCACTTTCCCGTACGGGAGCTGCCCCAGCCCGGGGCGCAGCCTGCCCAGCGCCACCGCATGTCACCGCGCTGTGATGTTTGTGACCACGGCTGCTCCGCAGGTGTTGCTTTGGTTTGGGGTGTTTATTTGGGAGGGGTTTTTTTGTTGGATTATTTTTTTTTCCCTGCTCGAAACGTGTCCCCGGGCTGCGGCGCTTTCCGCTGGGGCAGCTCCTCCTGTGAACTCGGCGGAGATGCGCGCCTGAAAGCCGGAGCTTTCTCCGGGCGGGCATGGCTTTTTCTTCTGCCGGGAGCTGCCGGGGTTGGGGGAGGGAAGGCAGAGAGTTGCTTTTGTCATTTAAGCCGTGAATCTCTTCTACATAAAGGTGTTAGAGACATCTGGAAGAAAAGAAGGACCAGCACCCAGTCCTGCGCTCGGCGGACCAGGGGAGCGGCTCTGATGTTCTTTTTGAACTGCTCCACTTTCAAAAGGGGGCAATTTCGTTACATTCTCATTTGTTACACTGTCTTGAACTAAAGGCAGACAAAGCTATACTCTGTCACCCCGAGCAGAATGAAGGGAATCAAAGGATTTTCCCTTAAAAGGACTAATTTTCTTCTTGAATTATGAAAGTAATGGCTAGGTAACAGCCTGTGCTCTGTACCCAACTGCTTAATACCTTCTAAATCCTTCCACGTGGCTCTCCCAGTCGTAGCAATTAGAGCTCATTATAGGCTCATAAGAGCTCTCATTTCGAGGATTACTTAATGGACAATGAAATTTTATCGGACAGAATTATTGAAAAATAAAATTGTAACGAGGCCGATGTGATGTGGGCGCACGCCTTGCATCATTCCGCCTGGTTTGGGATGTCTTTGCTTTCAAATGACTTCTTTTCTTGCTCTGGCTTTCAGGGGTGTTTTTTTCTTAGTGATTTCTCTCTCTCCCTCACTCTCTTTTATCACTGCATTTGGTTTATTATAACAATTACAAATTGGAATTTTGATCCGACTCTTGCTTTGTCTTCCCTTACGACAGCCCCCTCCCCAGATCCACTCTATCACTGCAGACCGCTTTTTCCACTGAGGTTTGGGGTTGTGTTATTACATTTTCATTTTCCAGAATAGCCTCTCTTAAAGGAAAACAAAAAAAAAAAAAAAAAAAAAAAAAAAAAAAAAAAAAAAAATTTAAAAAATTAAAATAAAATGCGGATATTAGTTTAAATCTTCTCCAGACATACTTTGCTTTAAACGAGAAGAGCCGAAACAAGAAATGCTATGCTTGTGCACGGTGCCCGTGACTAGAATCCGGCGGGGCTGAGGAGGCAGAGCCCCCCGGTATCGCCGGGGACTCACAGGAGCTGCGGGGCCTGGCGGCTGCGGGGCCTCGGCTGAGCCCTGGGCAGAGCTTTGGGGAAAAGTAGGTGAGGTTGGAGCCGACCCGCCTAAACCTCGCGAGCCCCTAATTGTTGTCACAAGACGCGGGATTAGCGCATTGCTGGAATAGCTGTCTGTTTACACTCAGGAGCCCCCGCCGGCCGGTAAACACTTTCTAATTGAATTCTAATCACATTCAAATAGCCACATAACAGGCCTCAGCTGCAATTCATAAAACTTTAATTGCTATCCATAAATCCTCAGATCACCGAGCGCGGAGTGTCCCTAAAAACGCTGTTGCATCGTGCCTGCCCGGGGAGGTGCGGGGCAATGGGGAGCAGGGCTAGGGGAGAGCCGGGCCCTGCACAGGGGACCTGCACAGCCGCACTGCCCGCGGCAGCTTGGGGATGGGGATGGGGATGGGACAGGACAGGACAACACAGCCGCTCGAGAGCTGGCCCCTCTCAGCAAGGCTCCAGTTGCACCGCCGACTCTTGCTGGTCCCAGGGGCGAGGAGATGCCGGCTCCTTTAGAAGGCGGTTTTATTTTGCTGGGTTTAACAGCGGTGTGCAGGAGGGATGGTAGGATGTCCGCGGCCCGGCCCTCGAGCATGAAACCCGCTTCTGAACACGTTTTGGCTATTGCTGCACTCCCGAGTTTCTGTTCAGCCTCTGGTAATCAGGCGTAGCCTGTGTTTTCTGCTTTAGAGCACAATTGTCACTTCCCTTTCCCGTGTCAAGTGGGATGGGATCCGCAGTCTGTTTTAAACGCCGCTTCGCATCTGCTAAACAGGAACGCGATAGTCCTTCTATTAAATATAAGTCTCTTCTTAAATTCCCATAAAACAGGTCATTGGAAAATCGCGTAATATGCTGCGAATACCTTGGCTTTGTAATGCACTCCGAAATGCTTCGGAGCCACCGACCGTATTTAGCTGTTTATCCAATTTTACTTTGAATGATTGCTTCAGCAAACTTGGTGGAGATCAAAGAATCCCTCCCTGACATGTTCGCTTTTCATTAGCGCTGGGCACTGCGGTCCCGGAGCGGCCGGGGAAGTTCGCTTGGAAGTTTTTGATACCGTTTGGCTGAGAAGTGTCCAGATATTTGGAGGCTTTGTCCTTTGCAGTAATTGCCAATTTGGCAAGATTCACTTGAGGTGAAAAGGGCGCGGAGGAAAAAAAGCCCCCCAACCCACCCTGCGTGCATATGTATGCGCGGACACACAACCGCGCTCCGTCCCTAGCTTTTATATCCGTGGCTGCATCTGTGTACCTGGCTCCTCTGATGCAGAAAGGGCCTCCTGAGGGAGTCCTGAGTGCAGGGAGTGGGCCGGACTGGGTAAAGGTGTTGGCCCCAGGCCTCCGTGGGATCCACGGCCCTTTGGATGTTCTTTTACTGGGGGTGAGGGAGGCGGAGTTGAACCGCTTGTTCCAGAGCATTACCTGCTTTCACCTCTCTTTCCCTCCCAGCGAGGCAAAGGAGCGTTCTCCCCGGGGAAAGCCCCCGAGCAGAAACTCCTTCCGATTAATTTTACCCCCAGCATCCCGGGTGTGTTGACAGAGGGACATGCCTGCGAACGCGACGTGTGACGGGGCCGCGGAGCAGCCGCCCCCTCCCCGCTTTCTCTGCTCCTATAATTTATTTGAGGCGGAGGCAAAGGAGTGAAGTCATCGGGCAACGAGCAAGCACGCACACTTTGCCCCCCTCCCCTACCCCGCTTTGGTCCCCCCCGGCAGCCTCTCCTGCCGGCCTGGGAAGCCGGGGAGATTTAGATCTGCGAGGCTTTCAGCCATCACGTGTTTAAATACTTGATATAAAACCCCGGCGCAGGGGATCCAGGCGGGGGGACTTTAAGACCAGCCCTCTCCAGGGACCCTTTTGTTCAGCTCTCAAACATAAGCACCTTCTCGACTCGCCAGGACTTCAGTGGCAACTTGGCCAAGCAGGAAAAACCCGACTTTGGGAGAGCCGCCCCCGGCCTCGCAGCCCTCCGCGATGTCACGCTCCTTCTATGTCGACTCCTTAATCATCAAAGACTCCTCGAGGCCGGCTCCGTCCCTTCCTGAGCATCATCACGGCCAGGACTTCTTCATCCCTCTCAGCATGCCTTCCCCCCTCGTCATGTCGGTGTCGGGCCCGGGCTGCCCGTCCCGAAAGAGCGGCGCCTTCTG